GCTTAAAATAACCAATCTTTATGTTTTACTCACAATCAGTTGCAAAAGCAGTTATAGTGTGATGTTATACCTAGGGTCGAGTCCCTATAGCTGGTTTCATTTTGGTTCCAGTTCCCAGCTGGCATAGAATAAGGATTTAATGAAGCTGCAACACAAACAGATCTCTTATCGAACCTTTTATCTCTCCTTTCTTGTTTTCTCTTTGCAAAGAGCAAAATACACGTATAATTTAGGTTCCAGGTTTCTCATTTTTACCCGCCGCTGACTGACACTTTCGTTGCTTAAAATGGCTTTTTGCTAAAACCTTTGTCTGCTACACATCACTCTGTAAAACTATTACTGCGGATGGACTGAGTTTTTGTAGTGCAGCCGAGAGAAACAATTAGTTGATTGCATCACATCAGTATTTTGAGCAAGCAGCTTGTGAAAAACAAGGTGCTGCTGTTTCAGTGTGTCAGATTACATTTAATTACCATTTCAGGTTTATTTCAGGTAGCTGCAGGTTGTGAACATTGATTAAACTGCCACTCAAAGTGTTTCTGCCCTCTCAGCCAACAAAAGGTAATTTTAGATCTTTGAGTTTAATTATAAAATAAAATAAGCAGAAGCAAGTTAGATTTGATTGGGGATTAGAAAGGATGCAGATTTAACAAACATATTCAATACTGGATTTAGAACTGATAAAATGCTTTCAGAGTGACAGATACTTATATATGGAGCCATTTTTGGATCAGTCATATGCGGACCTTAAAGGTCCAGTGTGTAACTGTTGGGAGGAGAATCTATTGGCAGAAATGTAATATAATATCTGTTGGTATGATATGCACCTGAAATAAAGAATCACTGTGTTTTTGTTAGCTTAAAATAAGCCATTTTTCCACAGTCTTCTTCTATGGAGTCTGACATGTTGAACTGCCATGTTTTTACAGTAGCCAAGAACAGACAGATCAAACACTGACTGTAAATGGTGCCATTTCAGAAGTTTTGCTGCCACCATATTTGAGCTGTATTTAGTTGGTTGCAATCTGCAACCTCACCACTAGATGCTTCTTAATCCTACACACTGGGTCTTTTAGTAACCTTCTTGTGTCATTGTGTGATCAGGACATGTTGCACACTTGCTGTGGACAGATGAGCCCACTGAAATCTGCTCAACGTAATGGATTGCATGGTTGTCTGTGGGAGGTTTATGCTCTGGTCATTTGCAAACAGCTTGTTGGCATTTCCAGCTGATGCCCCTCCACTGGAGCTGGACCAAGTTCAAACCTCCATGACAGCAAGACACTAAACCCCTGAGGGCTTCAGAGCCTCCTTTGAAGAGTTTATCATTTCTGCGGCTGCACGAGTGGCAGCCTTCGCTCTCTACTGAGCTTTCTTTTCTCTGTTTTAGTGTTTATATTCTTGTTCTTACTGTTTTTAGTCTTGTTTTTAACTGGTTGCTCAAAATGGACATCAAACACGACGGTTTTGCTCTAGTCACTGTACTAGTTTTGCAACCACTACCGGGGATCCTGCACACTTCCATGGTCCCATTGTTTACACCAAAGATCAGCTGATAGCGCTCCGCAACAATGCGTTGCTGCCTGGGGAGAGACCCGTTGTTCCCCACGAACTGAGGAGGAAGCAACAAGGATGTCGGGCCGGGGATGACTGCTGCACTTGGAGGAAACGCTACAAACTTGTCCTCCCCACGATTATCATGGGGAATGTGAGATCTCCTCCCAATAAGATGGACAAGCTAGCGACGCTGACCCAGCACCAGAGAGAATACTAGCAATGTAGCATCATACTGATAACCAAATCATGGCTAACAGAGCTGACTCCGGACACAAACATTGCAGTGGGCGGTTTCACTATTAAAGAACAACTCGGCACAAAGGACATTGAGCTGTTAGCCATCAGCATGAGGCCTTTCCACCTACCGAGGGACTTCTTATACGCCCTCGTGATGGCTGTGTATATTCTCCCATCTGGGAATGCTGATGCTGCAGACACAACACCCTCATGAACCTCCTCATGCCCTCTTCCTCATCTCTGGGGACTTTAATCATGCCTCTCCTTCCTCCACTCTGCCCAAATTCACCCAATACGTTTCATGTCATACCATAAATATAAAACTCTAGACTTATTTTTTGGCTTATAATTCATCTCCTCTCCCTCCCCTGGGAAGATCTGATCACAACCTGGTGCACCTCCTGCCTGTGTACAAACCTCTTATGTGCAGGCAGCCAGCCAGGCAACCAAAATGGTCTGATGAGGCTTGTGAGCCTCTGCAACACTGTTTTGACTCAGTAATGTGGGATGTACTTTGTGATGCTCGGGGGAGGACACTGACAGTCTCACACACTGAAGAACAGATTATATCAAATATTGTGTGGAGAAACTCATACCCATCAGGACTATTAAGTGTTTTTCAAACAACAAACCCTGGATTACCCTGACATAAAGGCTCTACTCGAGAAAAAAAAATGAGTTTTTTGCATCAGGAAACAAGGAGGAGCTGAGGACTGTACAGAGGGAGCTGAGGAGGAAGATCAGAAAAAAACAGCTACAGGAGGAAAAATGGAGACAACAGAGGAGTCTGGAAAGGCCTTAAAACCATTTCAGGCTACAAGGAATTGAAACCCCAGCCTGTGTTGGACCCAAAGTGGGTGAATGAATATTTTCTTTAACAGATTTGAATCAACCATTGGCATCTCCCCATCTGGTGCCACCAGAACCACCTCCAGATCCAGATGCGGGGCAAACTACGGATCTGGTAGTGGACTTCCACAGGAACAAACTCTCCTCAGTAAACATCCAATGAACGAACATTGTCATTGGGAAATCATACCTAAAAAATAAACTGGACTGGTCAGACAACACAAAAGCACTTTATAAGACGGAGCAGAACAGCTCCGGTTGTTTGGAGTACAGGGGACCCTACTGAGGACCTTTTATTGACTCTGATTCTATTTAGTGGTCTACTGGGGCAGCAGCATCTTAATGGCTGACAGGAGGAAGCTGAACAAGAACGCTCTCTTCTTTGATGCCCCATTGGAGGTGGTGGGAAAAGGGAGGTTAATGACCAAACAAAAAAAGATAATTACTCCCTCAAGGATCACTAGGATGTGACAAGAAGTATCGTAGCTTCTTTCTATGTTACCTGAACTGAGCTGACACCAGCACAAATCTATACATTTTCAGAATGGGTGACCCAGTGATGGAGAAATACTTCACTCTTTATCCACCAAACCATCCATGTTTAATAACTGACTTACTATTAGATTCTGACGCACCCCCTCACACTGCAGTGGTTCAGCCTCATTCCCAGAATACTAAAACAATTATTAATATAGTTTCAAAGGTGGTTTAATTAGAATCTCTGCTGGCATAGTGGGATCAACTCCGGCCTGCGGGACCTTAAAATACTCTCACTGTTGCACCCCACTGACTGTGGGACCCTTTCTCTCTCTGCTCTGACAGAGTTTTGAAATATTTTTGTCAGTGTTTCACCTCCTCCTCCTAAAGGCCTAAATATGTTATCAAATCTAAGCACATTTACATTTACAGTGAAGCTGACTTTTGACTTTTGATTTATTTCTGAAAACTGAGTTAGTGTGTTTGTTGCTGTGGAAACCTGTAAGGCTGTAATGAAATCCTGAGTTTGCCCCATCGGTTTCAGCACAAATTACTTATTGATATTAGACATTGATTTGTCATTTACGGTTTGATTTGTTCAGCGGAGAATGGAGAGAAGGCTGAATGACCATGGGTAAGCAACCCTAAAACAATGAAAGAGAGATATGGTGTGTGTCATTACTGTATTTGTGAGAGTGCAAAATCAATGTATTCAAAGCATTTTTTATTCAATGTTAGATTTAAAGTTCAGAATTATCTTCTAAAATCTGTTATTATGGAGTAAGTCTAATGACTGCTGGTACTCAGTGTGTAACCACAGAATCGGCAGCAGTAGTCAAGACTCAGTAGTCAAGGCTAATTAATGGGTCAGTGTCAAAATGTCATTGTAGCATTGAATTTAGTTCAGCAAGTTGCCTGTTGCTCATCAGGACACACAGAAAACACATCGGTCATTAAATGCTAAGCTCAGAAAGCTACACAGCTCAGAAACAGTTCACAGTTTGACAGTTTGGATGAGTGTTTGAAAATGGATTTGTTCTGACTGTATGGTAACAGGTACATTTAGACATTTTTGTATATATAAAACCTCATCAGTGTTTGGCTTTGCTTCCATTTTCTGTTCAGTAATTGTGTATTTTGACTTACTTACTGAATGGATTTCAGGGTAAAATTATATGCTGCTTATTGGTGTATATTTGCGCTCCCACGTGCCTCTCACATACAGTATATAGACTCAGCACAGAATCCATTGGTGAACACAACCCACCTGATAGATGTTGTTGGTTTACTGCCAATAAGACGCATATAATAAATAGAGACGGCTGCAGGTGGTTGGCATGGTTTACATCTGCTGATTTATTAGAGAGTATACAGTCAGTGTCTGCTGTACTGTGAGTCACAATGTTAGTGTACTTACTGATGCCTTCTGGAGCACACAGAAATGGTTTAAAGAAATAAGGAATTAAACTATTTAGAGAAAAGAAGTTTTCATTGCTAATGAATCCAGATAATTTATTAAATTGTTAAATACATGTAATACTTTTACTGAAGTAATATTTTAAAAGCTAGAGCTTTACTAGTGTTGGAGTATTTTCGTACAGTGGCTGCTTTCACATAAAGATCCAGTGTGTCGGATTTACTGCCATCGAGCAGTGAAATTGTGGATTGCTGAGCCAGTGTTTGGTTTGTCCGTTACCGTAGAAACATGGCAGTTCAACATAAAAGAGAACTCACTCCCTCTGTAGATAAAAACAGCTCATTCTAAGGTAACAAAA